GTACTGATGCTAGCAACAAATATGTATTACGATACAATTTGAATTACCAATTAACGCATGTATCGTAGAAAAATGCGATTGTATCATTCATACTTTACAGATGCCTTTAGGCTATTTGTCTAGCAAATAGCGTGTCAGCCATGTAGAGAAATTAATTAGCAAACCCGAGAACGTAACGTCTACTTTTATCTAATAGTTTTATAACCATTTAGCGGTAAATATACGTATTTATTATGTTATAGGTATACTTACTACGTTCATTTTCTTCAAGAACATAAAAGGTTGAAGTTTGCTGAACAGTTGCACTTGCATGAAAAGTTGAAGACCTATGAACAAATGCATCTGACTTTAAAAAAAAAGTTGAAGTTTGCTGAACAGTTGCACTTGCAAGAAAAGTTGAAGTGCGATGAACAATTGCCTATATGTACTTTTGTCATTTTGCTATCTAAGAATTGTTAGAAGATGAAAGAAAATTCTATTTTAAATTTGATGACAAAAATAATACGATTAAATGAATAACAGTTATTAAAAACGACGCTTTTCTTCCACACATAATAATTATCGTAATATGAGTTATAAAGTAATAAAAATTATTGCAATTATAGCAATGTATATGGATCCAATTTTTATTTTTTTACGTATTTTGTGACAAAATCGTGCCGGAAAGTGTCTTTTTGGCACCGCACTCGAAAACTGATGGTACCATCAGATTCTACGTACTTTTTTACATAACCGGCCCTAGTCAGCGACTTGGAAATGCTCTCCATCTCCTAGTAATTTCAGGTGCGCTTTTTTATGTTTGATTTATTTTATGTATTTTGTGACAAAATCGTGCCGGAAAATGTCTTTTTGGCACCGCACTCAAAAACTGATGGTACAATCAGATTCTACGTACTTTTTTACATAACCGGCCCTAGTAAGCGACTTGGAAATGCTCTCCATCTCCTAGTAATTTCAGGTGCGCTTTTTATTGTTTGATTTATTTTATGTATTTTGTGACAAAATTGTGCCGGAAAGCGCCTTTTTGGGACCGCACTCAAAAACTGATGGTACCATCAGATTCTACGTACTTTTTTTACATAACTCTCACTTTTGATTGGTTAGAAAATGCCTTCCGTCTTCCAGTAAATTCACGAGCGCCTTTTTATTTTTAATTTATTTTATATATTCAACAATGACGTAGCAATTGTAACTCTGACACCGCTTTCGATAACCGTTGACACCATGAGATTACATACGTTTTTTACTTAATGTCACTTATCAACGATGCGTCTTGAATCTGGATGTTTTCAAAATCTTCTTTTTCCATGTAATTATCTNTTGTGACAAAATTGTGCCGGAAAGCGCCTTTTTGGGACCGCACTCAAAAACTGATGGTACCATCAGATTCTACGTACTTTTTTTACATAACTCTCACTTTTGATTGGTTAGAAAATGCCTTCCGTCTTCCAGTAAATTCACGAGCGCCTTTTTATTTTTAATTTATTTTATATATTCAACAATGACGTAGCAATTGTAACTCTGACACCGCTTTCGATAACCGTTGACACTATGAGATTACATACGTTTTTTACTTAATGTCACTTATCAACGATGCGTCTTGAATCTGGATGTTTTCAAAATCTTCTTTTTCCATGTAATTATCTTCGGAATGCTTTGCTAGTTTTTTTAATAGTTTCTAATTTAACTTATTACTGAAACAAATTTCATTCGAATCGGTTCAGAAATTAATAAAATAAAAATTATTTTTGAATGTATTTAATGTTTTTCTCATAAACAGTTGAATATTCATGACTGATTTTCGTACAATTTAAGTGGGTGTGAATAATACTGACTATAAATGAACTTATAAAGATAAAAACCATCAACGCCAGTAGTTTCTTATCTCATCTTATTCGACTATAACCTTTTGTATCCGATTAATTTTCGATGTTGATTTTCAGGTAAACGCTTGAAGGAGCGATTAAAACGTCAAGTCTGGAAGAGGGTGTACAAAAAAAAGAAAGAACTGCACAACCTCGACAGGTTAGTAATCTAAAGCTGACGCTGTTATAAAACACTTGTAGATAATGGGCAACAAGTAGCTGGATCGCCAAGCGACTCGTTTAATTTCGCTCTCTAACTCAAATTGCTTCAGAATTAAATTCTCGGTAGGTACCTCATTAAGGAAATAGTGGAGCGGGTCGCGTGATTGAAAACGGCGACGGATGAGGAAGAGGGTTTAAAAGGGATATAATATTAAAAACCTATTTTGAAGATATTCTATTTCATAATTCCAACTAGGAAGTTAATTTTTAATCAACACTTCGGTTTATAAACATGCAAAAAATACTTACTCAGCGTTGATAGGAACATGATTACAAAACCTGTAAACATGGGTATACTGTAGCCTATTCTGTAACATAAAACAAAAGTTATTTGAGGGATACGTGGGACAAACAGGGAGCGCGTTACTTGTGAGTTAGAGGTCCCACAATGGGATTGGCCAACAACTGCACAAATGCCTTCGAGGCAAACATTATACCCACTGCGACCGTTTCTTGAACTAGGTCTTTGTGACGTTTCTTCTTTTTGATTGCTTCAGGACTTAGAGTGGTCCCATTATCTAAATACATACAATAATGATTGTTACTATTTGTTGTCCTTGAAACTTTCTTTCAATATTTTTACCCGGAATTTCGGTGACAGCTGCGACGTTACTTGCGTTGTAATTGTTGTAAGAACAATCGCACTTTATCGGTTGTATTAATTCAGTTGGCTTCGGAACTTCCGCGTTTCTATCCATTTCCAATTCTGCTGCCAACGTTTCGTTCGGATGGTTAATGTCGTAAAGAAATTCCGGAATAATCGGAACTACAAAACAAAAACCAAAATTTTCTCGTTTGAATCCTAATTTTTTTACACCCTGTATGTCATTTTGTAATAATACAAACATAATTTAGGATATAGTAACATTTGAAGATCAGGAGTGACCTTGGCCTCCAAGAATAATAATACTAAAAATAACAGTTGAAAAATGATAATGGCAGACTAAAGCGACATTGCGATAACAATTGATAACCATAATGGACGACGACTTTAACAAACAAATCGAAACAAAGGATCATCGATTCATATGGTTGACTTGTGATGAAACATCTAGCGCTTTATTCAAGTTAATAAATAATATTTGGCGTTAGAAGGGTGGGTTTAAACAAATTTGATTTCGTAAATGTTATAGACACAGATCCCAGTTGGATTTCTTTTCGGAATTTAAGTGCCTCATTCATCGGTCGGACGCTTAAAAAGAATAATTTATTGCGTCTCAGAAATCAGTTTGAATCGTGAAAAGGGGGCGCCGTTCTTTGCGACTGGTAGTCCGTATGTTCCGCAAAACCCTTGTCATTGTGGCGAAAAAGGTTGAGAGAGTGTAACTTCCATTGCTAATGTCATCCGGTTTGAGTGGATAAGGCGATATGTTCTGTTCTTAGGGAGGAATCGCGCTATCAACTACCCTCATACATTTTTAACAGTCTGAACTCTACCCCTATCTCTTTCTTCCTCGAAATCTAGGTCAAATGCAACAAGCAACACCAAAAAAAAGTTGAAAAAACAAAATGTATAATTCTTTTATTTCATTAACAAAAGAACAGTAGCTTTCTAAATAGATATTGTTTTAACGAAGTGGCTATTGTTTTTAAAAATCGTTGATCAGCATTTGTTTTTCACGTTGCAGTATTTCACTTTTTTTTTTGTATAACAATTGAAAACATTTGCGGCGGGTTTTGTTTATTTATTAATGAATTTAAAATGTATATAGGTGTATGAAGATTTAGGAAGGGTTTTGAGGCGAGAGGCGGGTTGTTTGGGCTCCTCGTGCTTGTAATTTATGAAAGGATACTACAGTTTATTCCTTTTATTGGGGTCGGTGAGAGTTATACGGAGATACTTTTGTTTATCGCCCCGATTTAATTTACAACTGTAATAGTTCCTGACGAATGGCCCATGCCTTACCAGTTAAATAGAAAATAGAGGTTCGCGTTGAAAATGTATGAGAGACCTTGTTGGTCCGGTCTGTTCATCTTTTTCGCCGTCGAATTCTTTTCCTTTTCCCCGTTTTTGCTTGCTACATAAACGGACGCGGCGGCCGTATTTATAGGGTGAGAAAACACTCTCCTTTTTATTGCTTCGCACAATCTGATCGAACGAAACGATGAGCGATAGGTAGCTTCTTGATGGAAGGGTGAATATTTATCCGAGTTAAGCACTTTCTTGTGTGAATGGTTTAATCGTTTTATTATTTGAAGAAAACGGAAGTCGAATTGTTTCTAACAATAGCTTGATCTATACGATAAATTAAATTGATTTTCGACGAAAACGAAAAAAAGCATTAACTTGTTCTTTTCAAACGAAGGCGATTGATTGGCCTGATTTCACCCCCAACTGAAATAAATTATGTAGCTGTAGCCTTTTTGAAATTTTGAAGGTTGAAACATTGTGATATTGAAATATCGGCTTTTAACAGGTATTAATTGTTATTGGCAGTTGAAGAATTAATGATAAATCGGGAGTGTAGAATTGAGCAGAGGGAAGTGAACTGTGAACAAAATCCGATATCGGCATGTGACACTAATAACATTGTCAATTTTGAATTTACAGCACGCCAGCCTGTTTGACTATTACACAGAGATAGCATTAGTTACTTTTTTACATAATTCTGCTCATGAGTTCGCATATTAAAGGAATTTTGGATTTGAAAAATTGTCTGGGCATTCATCAGTATTCCAACCTTGTTTTAACACTGTGGTAGAGTAATTCCATGCTTTGTTGTAAATACATTTTGCATTGCAATATCCAATAAAAGCATTCTACCTTAATAAATCGTTGTCGAATTGGAACTAAATTTATACCATGACATTCTGCTCATATTTTTGTACCCTTTTGCACATAAGCGCCCTTCCAAATCATTTTGCAAAGTACTAAAAATTTACGAGCGGTTTTTTACTTCATCTGACTACTCTAACCTCACTAATACTTTCATTTGAAGCATTCTACTGTAATAAATCGTTGTCGAATTGGAACTACATTTATACCATGATATTCTGCACATATTTTTGTACCTTTTTGCACATAAGCGCCCTTCCAAATCAATTTTTAAAGTACTAAAAATTTAGGAGCGCTTTTTCAATTCATCTGATTACTCTAACCTCACTAATACTTCCATTTAAAGCATTCTATTGTAATAAATCGTTGTTAAATTTAAAATATATTTATACCATGACAATCTGCACATATTTTTGCACCTTCTTGCACATAAGCGCCCTTCCAAATCAATTTTTAAAGTACTAAAAATTTACGAGCGCTTTTTCAATTCATCTGATTACTCTAACCTCACTAATACTTCCATTTGAAGCATTCTAGCTTAATAATCCGCTGTCCAATTGAAAATACACTTATACCATGACAATCTGCACATATTTTTGCACCTTCTTGCACATAAGCGCCCTTCCAAATCGAGTTTCAAAGTACTAAAAATTTACGAGCGCTTTTTCACTTCATCTGACTACTCTAACCTCACTATACTTTCATTTGAAGCATTCTACTGTAATAAATCGTTGTCGAAATGAAAATACATTTATACCATAACATTCTGCACATATTTCTGTACCCCTTTGCACATAAGCGCCCTTCCAAATAAATTTCTAAGGTACTTAAAATTTACGAGCGCTTTTTCACTTCATCTGACTTCTCTAACCTCACTAATACTTCCATTTAAAGCATTCTGCATTAATAATTCATTTCCAAATTCAAAATACATTTATACCACGACATTCTGCACATATTATCATACCTTTGTCCACATAAGCGCCCTCGTAAACCAATTTCTAAAATACTTAAAATTAACCAGCGCTTTCTTGAATTTCATCAATAGAAGATCAATATTCATGTACGATATATTTTGAACTCGTTACATCAAGGTGTTAATAATTATTTCAAAGTTCCCTTTGTGTCAACATAACACAATGCATATATATGTAAGCGAGCTTTTCTTGACGTTTAGTAAACGTATGTAATTCCAAGATCATTACGTGCTTGCTAATGAGCTTTGCTATGGTCTCGCAATTAGACACAAAAGCCTTTGATGAAGTTTTCCCTTTCCAGTAGGTACATTATTAAACATTATAAGCACCCTACCCAATATCTTTATATGATTAATATGGTATTATGTGACCGCTGTATGCTTCTATAAAATTAGTTAATATAATTAAGTAAATCGAAATTAGAAAAATTAATTATTTACGTAAAAAAGTATTAGAATAAGTTGTTTCATTTGGATTGGCCCCGCATTCGGAAGACAAATGTCTCCTAATTAGACGTTCTCTACAGTACCGTAACGTAGAGATAACGAATTACCATTGTAGCCTGTAAGTCTTTTCAAGTCCACGATGGCATAAAATTAATTGGCTATGCTGGAGATCAGAAATGGTCTAGTAATGATTCTTTATCCCGATTTAATCGTTTCTGTTACAGATCGTTGACTGACCGTCTTGCCATTTCAATCCTCGGCTCGACCTCTTGTTTGAAGATAATCTTTCCGCATTGACCAAACGAAATTCACTTCGTCATTATCACAAAGGCTGTGTTCAGGACTGACCCCCACACCCACAAACGCAAAATCGTAAGTAAAATTTTCAATTTAAATAGTTTTGATTTTTATTGTCAATTGTTTTTTCTTTTTTTCTCGAAATGATAAAAAAAGGAAGGAATGAGTACATAGGATTAGTAGATTTAGGGAAAGGTTTTGACAATGTTAAATATACTTAAAAATGTAGGGATGAGTTACGGAGATAGAAGAGTGATATTGACTTTGTATAAAGAGCAACAGGCAGTTACAGAGCTGGAGCAGTAACGTAGAGAAGTACAGTGTAAACTCTATATAACGACACTTAAGGGACTGAACATTTTTCGGCGTTATAAAGAGTGGTCGTTAAATGGAGAGAAATAAAAGATAGTATTTTACTATTCTATAANCGCATTTAAAAAAATTCGATCGAAATTTTTTTTAACAGTAGGTTCTAGATCTTTATGATATTTAGACATCTACGAGGTGCGTTAGAAAAATAATTTAACTAGAAAAATTCCTTACCTTGACAGTTCTCGAATTGCTTTTGTCTTTTTTCGTTTCTGGAGTTTATTGTTTGAGTGCGTCTCGGGATTGAGTGAGGAAGTCGGTGAAGTGGACAAGACGTCGCAACGGCCGGCGTCGCTGTTCAGGTATCCATGGTGGCGTATGTCCAGAGCCAGTGCCGCCTCGTGCGGACCCTTAGCTCTGACGACGACTTGCACCGCCACTAAAACCGACGCTCTCCTGTTTGGACCACCGCCGCCGCGATTGCGCCGACTGATTACGTCCGATGTACGTCGCGACGCTCTCATATCCGTCAGCGTCGCGACGCGACTTGACGCTACGCGCATCTCTACTCACGCGGCCCATCTTTTACCATTGGACGACCCACATACACGTGGACACTTGTTGATATAATAGGAGAGGGAGGAAAGAGGGTAAATGTTTTTTCGGGGATTTCTAAAGAATAATACATGTATTATGCAGTTTTAGTAACCTTTATTCGAAAGAAAAGACCTAATGAGATTTATAAATATTCAGGATTATGCGTATAGCAGGGAGCAGTTAGGGATAGTTAATAAAATGGAAGCGGTATTGACAAAACAGTGTGTATGAAAATAAGTAAAAGTAAAATAAAAATACTGGTATGCAATGGAAGAGAAAGTAGAGAAACAGCAAACATAGAGATAGGGGACGAAACATTAGAAGAAGTGGTTGATTTTAGGTATTTAAGAAGTCAGATAAGTCAGGACGGAAGGAGTAGTAGGGATATAAAGCAGAGGATAGTACAGGGTCGATTTGCTTTCAATAAAAAGAAGTCACTTCTTTGCTTGCGAAGAGTTAATTTAAAAAAAATATATAAAGGTTATTAAAGGTTTATGCCTGGAGCGGGGCGCTGTAGGGGTACGTAATATGGACGGGATATCGAGACATATTAGAAGCAAGAACAAGAGGACTAGAGGTAGACCTAGATTGGATTACTGTTCGCAAATAGTTAAGGATGTGGGATGTTCTAGTTTTAGGGAAATGCAAAGATTAGCTCAGGGTAGGATGATATGAGTTTTTTTCAATAGGAATACGAGATAAAATTATGAAAATTATTCAATCGACATCGGAGATTAAGACATGCGATTATTGCAAGAGGCAGTAGTGTCAGAGAAGAAAAATCGAAATTAGCCGGACGATTTTGAATTTCTAACATTTGAAACTTACCTAATACCTATTGACCCGCCGTAATATTTCTTTGGCGGGATATTGTACTGTAAAAGCGTGTTTTCCCCGGAGAAAATTTATGGCCATTTGGAACCATTAGTTATACACAAAAGGAAAGTGCTGTGTGGTAATTTTTGTTCGGTAGCTTCTTACGCTGAATAGAATGTTAAATGTAATGTCGCAATTTGAACGAAAGCAAGGAGTGCTATAAAATCGCTGCCTTTATTCGTCCTATGAAATAATACGAACGCCGCCGTTCGATTTTTAACGGTTGGACGCGTCTAAGGGAGAAAAACGAAAATTTAATGCCGTTTTATGTTTACTATAGCTTGTATTGTGTTCAATAATAATTTAGGTAGAGGAAGGGAGCCGCCCACTAAAAATATACCTACAATAATAGTAAAATAATGTGCCACAACCATCAAACCCTAATGCTTTCGGCGGCTGAAACGCTAATACATATTTATAACTATACAGGGTGTCCCATTTATAATAATTAAAAATTGGTCTGAGCACACTTTGATCGGTGCTAATACGACTAACTTCCCATTAGATAATACAGTTATTGTAAAGTACATTCGTTTCTAAAGTTTGAAAAAAACGCGGCACAATAATAAATATAATATGTTATTATAATATGTTATTCCCTGTCTTGAATAATGATATTTCGTTATTATTGATTCCGTAACTTCATTGTTGTGATTAGATTAGAACGTATTTTAATTAAATTGTTTGTAATTAATTCGTTTTTTTTTTTATAAAAAAAAAACGGCTTGACCGATTTCGTTCAAATTTCTTTCAGATCTTCATTATGATAATATCTTTCGAAAAAATTTTGGTTGAGGGCGATATCTCAATCCGTTCTTGAGATATCGAAAACGAAAAAAATGCTGACATACGAACGTACGTACATACGTACGTACGTACGTACGTACGTACGTACGTACATACACACATCATCAAAAAAATTGGCTAGCATGCTACTAATATGTTAAAACGTGGAAATATAATGAAAATTCCGATTTCACTTTTCGACCCAATTACAATAACTTCCTAATGGGAAGTTAAAAAAAGTAAACCGTGGATTCCTGGCACAAAATACAACAAAAAAGTGTTATACAATTTTTCAATCCGGTGACAATTGAGCTCCGAAATCGTCTTTGTAAATTTGGACGTACAATTTGTTTCATTACGGGCCTGGATCTAGGCGACCAACGTCGCTCAGCTGATCTAGTGTGGGTGTAACAAGTACCTATGGGGAAGAAGCCGAATGCACTTCCACCTTGTAAAAAATCGGTTGTCTGTAAAGTCGGTTTACTGACGATAGTTGAACGTGACAACGTCATAAGAAAATACTGATGGAATGGAATGGAAATGTATTATTGTATAGGAGCTGTCCACGCGGACGCATCGCTCACTCAAGTAGTAGAGAGACAGATGTCGAACGCTGCCGAACGTGGAGGCCGATTGTGCCTCTTTGTCGCTCGTTCCGCGCTCTCGCTTGCACTTCAAGCCTTAAATGGAACGCCTCAGAGCGAGGTAACGCCGCATGAGTCATGTTTTTTCGTGCCTGCAGCCGGCTCCATCGAATTATAAGACGTTGTCACGTCAAAAAAGGTAAAAGTGAAAAAGAAAAGAGCGTGCCTTTTATAAAAAATGTTGACATTGTCCGTCATTCGTTTCAATGCAACAGCGGCGTACCCAGTTGCTGCGAATTTTGGCCCAGGTTATATCAATATTTACCTTTTTACATTTAATGAAAACAAAATAACCAGCTTGGTCCTTCTGGACACATTCTTGTATTACTCCACGTGGGGTTAATGAGCCCTGCCAGGCAAAACTAACGTTTAACACATGAGAATGGTCAAAGTAGGTCTGCATCTTGTCTCAACTTTTACAACCATAACACATACATTTGTTTTCGTACACCAGTACGTTATCTTACAAACGTTTACCAAACGCTGGGTGGTGAGGGTTGTTTGTGCACCGCTTCTAACTATTCCGTAGCCGTTAAAATTTTTTTTCTATTTAAAATAATATAATACTCGACATCATGGTCTACTTTAGGTCCACTTCAATTTACGATCATGGGATTTTCGATTGTGATTGGTACGTAGTTGTCATCTAATGGACCTTAACGCCAGTTCATTTTCTTCGGCTGATCCGTAACTTAATATCAAACATAAACAATAACATCACCCCAAAAAGCAGCTGATTCCGACCTACTGAAGGTGACTTTTTCTACGATCAGCTGGCAATCGTAATTAATTTGCGATTGTGCAGGGCCGGCATCAAAACTGTTATAATTTTATAATTTCTTATTTTGTTTCAATAGTCAAAAGTGTTATAACATTCCCGTAATGTCCGTAGGAATCCGTGGTATAAATATTAATTATTATAACTGGGACACCCTATATATGTATATATATATAACGGTGATGAAATGAATCTATGTACCAGAATATATATACATAGGCACAGAAATGATAGCATCGAAAATCAACTTTTAATTAATACCTCTGGTAGTTATGTACTTATAAGTATCGATTGTTCTTGAAACAATATCGCTTGAAATCTTTCGCAAGTTTAAATGAGCTCCATGGCAGAAGTTAATTAGTGAAGAAGTTGCATGAACTTCCGATTACGAAGAAAAAGAAAGAGATATTTCTTAAGGCTGTTTGGCTTTTTAGAAAATTTTCTATCTAAACTGGTTGTTACATTTTACTGTGCTAGAATCTCTTGCGTGACATAGCAAAGACATCGTTAAATGTAAATGTTACTTTAACCACTATTGGCCCTTTTCCCTTTTCACCTTTCCTTTTTCCTGTATTTAATTGTATTTTGTCCTTTATTTTTAAGCATTCTTTAAGTAGATTGCTTCCTTTAATTGGTTATGTTTAGATGTCTTTCATAGTTTCATTTTTTTTTTTATTTTCATCTTTTCAAATGAAGAATTTGTTTGAAGTTATTGTTTGAATTGATAATGATTCGACTCTAGCTGAGTTAGAAAGGGCGCATATTTTCTTCCAACAAAGAAGTTATATGGAAAAACATACACGGACAAGTTTGTATGACAATGCAATAATTACAATTTTTCATTGTAAATGACTGAATAGAATTATTAGGTAACTTGTACTAATCTTAATTTTGACATGTCTTTTTAAGAATTATTTCAAGTCTCTTTCAATATAATTTGTNATGTTTCTTTAAAAATTATTCTGTTTCTTAATTATTACAATTAAATTTGTAATATCAATTAAAATTCCTAGTCATTTTTTTCTTCTAGGATTTTATTTTTACAAATTCGGGTTCAAATTGTAATTTTTATTATTTTCGCTTAC